AGAGAGAGAAAGGGAGAGAGAGAGAGAGAGTGGGGTGTGCGCGCGCGTTTGTGTATGTATGCGGCATGCGTGTGTGGCCGACGGGTTTAGGTGGCAACGGAGTCAGTACTTTAATGTGGGTCGGGCCTATCCACGAGCCCAAGAACAACATTTCTCGCCGTGGTCACCGCTTCCTTCGGGCAACGTTCTAGTCTGTCCAGTCTCCCTTATACCTGTCCACTCTGTATAACTGTCGTCTTGTCTGCTGAGTGAGTGAAAGTACATGTTAAGATGAGAAAGAGTTTCTCTAGGGCTTTCAAGTTCAAGAAATATTGGACATAGGGTCTAAATGTTTCAGGCAGAGGGATGTTGTCCGAAAACACAAAACCCGACCCGGACCCGACCCGATCGCGCTAATGGGCACCCCCTCGGGCTTCCCGTTAATTTTGAAGAACGCGGAACTCAGCTTAGGCCTAGGCTATTGGTTGTGAAGTCAGGCTGAGCCTCTTCCGAGGATTTTCTGAGATCTCTTTCTGGGACAACGTGGCGTCATACATGTATCTTCTTCATTTTGTGCATGCAACATAAAATGCTATTTTGTATTATTATTATTATTATTACTATTATTATTTTGTATTATCTATCATTATTGCCATTTCACAAAAGTCAAGAGAAAAAGACAAAAGATATTTTTGTCCTGTCTCCTGAGCGTGTCCGTGTGTTTCTCTTGTGTGGCGTTTGTATGGGCATAAACGGCCCTGTGCTGTTTCTCTTTTTATAAAGTCCAATACAAAATCTTTATCGTACACGTGCTTAGGTGAAACATATGCCTAGTTCCCGTGGCCTGTAATTTTTTTATTCTTAAAAACTTGCATGATACTGTTACTAAGCACACATACGATACGGCACTCTGCTGTAGTTTAATTGTACCGAGACAGCGATTTCCTTTCGAAATTTAAAAGGGAGACAAAAACGAGGAGGAAAAATAGACATTGAGACTTGTATGAGTGACTTCCCTTACACCACACCTACCGCGCTCGTTTTGGTGGTTGTTTTTTCTGGGGACACAATGCATAGCCTACATTAGGTAGATGACTTAAATTATGTTTTATTCGAGTAAAGTAAAGAGATACATACCCCCGGGGCAGTGCCACTGACTGAAGTGTCTTTAGGCCATTCCCAAAGGGGAGACATATCTCGTTCAAGCATAGAGTAGAATTGTAAATGGGCTGACTCATGTCATGCTCATATAACTGCCTGATCTACAACAGGGAACTGCTGCTTTTTCTTTCCTGATCTTTACTATTGTCATTTTCCTCTACTTCTTTTGTATGTCACTCTCTTGTGACCTGCTATTTTGGGGTGCCTTGATAGTCGAAGCAGTCCTTGTGCTGTTGAAGCTAGAGAGGTGAGCAGTCTAAGTCTGATTCCCTGTAAAGACTTCTCTGTTGACACCCACCCCTTGGTGCTCATATGACCTTATGCAGTTGCGAGCACCGTAAAAACCTCTACTATAAAAAAAAAGATATATATGTAATATATCAAAACGGTAAAATTCATTTGTTGAAAAGAAAAAGCAAGACTGATGGAAATAACAGAGAGGCTGTACAGAGGACGCCCCACTACCAGTAGGCTACTACCAGTGATGCCCTGCAACAACAGTGCCCAAGTGAGACACACAGAATAGAGACAAGAATCAAAGAAGTAGGATCTACACTGGGCACTCAAATTACCAAACCGGAGTTTGTGGTGGAGCGATTAAGAACTTCGCTGTCGCACGCATGAGCCACGAATTCAATTCCAGAGTGTGAGAATTTTCATCCATTATCTTTTTCTTTCTGTCTTGATGCATACCTCTCTGCCTGATTTGGCCCTGACAGGCAAGGTCAGAAGCCTGCCTCCTGAATGATCCAAGTTGCATTAATGGGGTCCTAAAAACACCTACATATTAATGTAAAGAGAAAAAAAACCCTACCCAAAGGCTACTAAGCTTTAGCGAAGTCAAACACTAACAGCACCCCTCTTCAACACTCCATTTTTTAAGTGGTATGAGTGTTAAAATAAATAGTAGAGGCTAGATCTAGGCAAAAGCAGAAAGCAATAAAAGACCAACGGTGTATAAGGTACAGCCATTGAGCGCTTCTCCGTCACTCACAGGCGACCAAAATTCGATTCTTATCATGTAGGAAGAATTTTTATAGTCTTTCTGCTGGGACGTTTATTCCCTTGTCTCTCAGCCCAGGTTGACCCTGACAAGCAGGGCTGAAGTGCACCTCCTAATTGATCTAAATTGTGTTGGTGAAGGCTTAAAAACAACAACAAAATTTGAATGAGTAATGAAAGTGAAAGCTCTGAGAAATACATCCCAGTTATGTAAGGAATGTAAGTTTACAGGATTGAAAGCAGGACACTAAATCACTCCCTAGTGTGACCATGAACACACCTTCCCCACTAATGGATTTGAAAAAATATTCTCTGAAAGACTAAATTCAAAAGAAGCACATCATTGCACAGATATGACTTGAGAATCTAATATGCTGTGACCCTTTGGGTCATCTACATGATGTCTAACAAAAAAAACATAACACTTATCGCTTTTTTTTTTAATTTGAGAGTTTTCTTTTTCAATACGCTCCAAAGAAATATGGAGTAGACCTAAATCTTGCGCAGATTATTTTTAAAAGAAAACATTGAAAATTTTATACAATGGTACCTAATATCAATCAAAATTTCACCCTCAGAAAATGCCAAAGAGAGCATTTCATCACCTTGAGCATTATGCAGTCTGACCACAGCTGCTTTAGGTTCTAACACTAAAAAGTATCTCGCATGTTAAACATAATAATGACAGAATGGACCATTCTGTACACATGCAGCAGGGGGAAACAAGATCAAGAAGAATTTATTGTGTCTTTCGAGTTCAGACCCAGGTGCCAGTCAAATTCATCATCTGTAGTTGCATCACTGAGTCACAGAAACTAAAGGAAAACAGCTGATAAACATTGTTCAAAAATATTCTTCTAAAATATTTTAAAAAGCAGAACAGCCAGAATGGTCACATTCCTGGTAAAAACACAAGGTGATAAAAAAGACAGTGGAAGACACCAAATAGATACAGTAACAGAAAAGACAGTGGGAGTCACCAAATAGAATCTCTAATTCTTACAATCCCCAAACACATAACATAAACATTCTTTCCCACACAACAGCACCTGGTACACAAACAGTCACTCTGCCTCTCAACAGTCACACACAATAGCAATAACTTGAAACACGTGTATTTCAATTTATAATCAAAATGTTTCATTGGCGTGGTTCCATACTAAGTCTCACAACGAGCACATATGAGATCAGCAGGGAAAACAATAACGTTTATGAACAAAATAATACTACAAGAGTGAATGATTTAAAAAAAAACAAAAAACACATGCCGTTAGGTACACAATAAACAAACTGGTGGGATCATCTCGTGTCAACAAAATGGAGATGCAGTAGGATCGATGGTCTTAAATAAATCTTTGACTTTCAAAGCCGGTTCAGCCTCCATAGGAGGTGGTGGGCCCTGGGCCTCAAAGTCATGTAATGTGTCGGGAAGGGAAGGGCTAGGGACATTCCTTGAGCGGGGATCTTTCCCTGGGGGGAATCGGGGTTTGTTGTAGTTACTGAACTGTGAGCCATCACCTTCTTCACTGACCATGACTTCTTCCGCACTGCCCAGAGGAGAGTTATACTCCACAGAGTTCTTGAGCTGGCTGGTAGAACGTTTCACCCGCTTGAAGCGAGGATCATTGCGATGGTCAAACTTCTGAGCAGGTTTTGGAAGATCTGAGTCAAAGTCTTGCATGGAGTCTGGCGGTGGGGTGGAAGAAGACGAGGAGGTAGGTGGGGTGCCAAGACCCAGTCGGAGATCAGCGTCTCCTATAGGAAGATCCATCATGGGATCCGGGAGAGGAGGAGGGGGGAAGTTGCCAGACTGGCTAAAGTCCTTTGAACTATTGCTGAAGCTGCCACCCGGCCTCTGTAGATTATTTGACTTTGACCCACTGCTAGGATCACTCGAGAGCATTCTGATATCCGAATCACTTTCGTCCATACTAACAGGGCCCATGCGTGGGTCTCTCCTATTTGTTCGGGGATCATTCTTATTCGGTTCCGAAGCTTTGATTTTGACTCGTGGGTCATTCGGCGGTCTCTGGCCACCTCCCAGTCTTGGGTCAGACGGGTTGTGGAAATCTCCAGCCATCCGCCGGTCTCCTGAATCACTTCCCATTATGCCTTGTGGCCCCACGGGACCGGGGCCACCCATTCCACCACCTGGGCCTTGAGGCCCTCCCATACGATTCATGTTCTGGTTTCCACCAATGGGACCTCCCATAGCATTCATGGGACCTCCCATGGGGTTCATGGGATTGCCCATCCTGTTCATATTATTACCCATGGGACCACCCATTGGGGCATTCACAGGTCCGCCTTGGAAAGGTCGCATAGGATTGTTCATCCTGGATTTCATGACATTCATAGGTCCACCACCCATCATGTTGTTCATGGAACCACCACCCATAGGGTTGTTCATGGCAGGACCACCCATTTGGTTGTTCATAGCTGGACTGCCCCTCTGGTTGTTCATGGGTCCAGGACCGCCCATGGGGTTGTTCATGGGTCCAGGGCCACCCATCATGCCTGGGCCACCCATCGGGTTGTTCATGGGGCCGCCCATCTGATTGTTCATGGGTCTGCCCATGTTGTTCATGCCGCTGTTCATGCCCCCAGCCATGCTGTTCGGCATGCCGCCCATCATGTTGCCCATGGAGTTCATGTTGTTCATGGGACCTCCCATGCCCATGCCACCGGTGTTCATTACTCCGCCCGAGCCAGCCATCGGGCTGGACATCTGACCGCCCATCATCCCCATATTGCCCATGGGATCCTGACTGTTCTGACGATTGAGCCGGGGGTCGAGGTTCGCCCCGGCCTGGCGTGCCAGCCGAGGATCGGTGGGCCTGCCTTGCGCCTGGGCTCGTTGAAGACGCGGGTCCGTCGGTCGAGACACATCACCTGAACCTGAGTCTGCAGCCGCTTTGGCTAGCCTGGGGTCGGTGGGGACTTTCTTCAGGCGAGGGTCCACAGGCTTGCTGGGTTTTTCCGTATCGACGCTAGGCCGCCTCACCACTTCTTTGGGTGCGGACTGAAGCTGTTTCTCCAGATACTGCAGATACCATTTGACCCTGGGGTCACTCTTGTACGAGGGGTCAGAGGCATTGACCCCCTTGGGAAGTTGTGTGTACGGCTTAGGCATATTCAAAGCAATTTTCACAACGGCATACTTGAGCGGATTTAGAGGACGGGCACTGACCACTGGAGGGTCCACAGTCAATGCTGGAAGCTGTTGCAATAATGCTGATGGCAACTGAAATGGCTTTCCTTCGCTGTCAGTAGGACTGAAATGCAGAAAGAAATAAAAAGTATAAAGTGATGCAGAAAAGCAAATAAAAAGAAGTGAATTCAGTTTTGAGGGTTGATTGTTCACTATTCAAGTAGAATGACCCATCAAATTAAAACTTTTTTTTTAGTAGAGGTTATACGGCGCTCGCAACTGCATAAGGTCATATGACCGCCAAGGGGCGGATGTTAACAGAGAAGTCCTTCCAGGGAATCAGACTTACTCTGCTCACCTCTCAAGCTTCAACAGCACAAAGTCTGCTTCGACTATTAAGGCACCCCGAAAATAGCGGGTCACAAGAGTGTGACAAACATACAGAAGAAGAAGAGGAAAAATGACGATAGTAAGGATTAGGAAAGAAAGAGCAGCAGTTCCCTGTTGTAGTTCAGGCAGTTAATGTTATGAGCATGACATTGTTGGATTAGCCAATTTACAATTCTACTGTGCATTAGAACGAGAAATGTCCCACCTTCGGGAATGGTCTAAAGACACTTCAGTCAGTGGCAGCGCCCCGGGATGGTAAATAAAAACTTTAACAACTAAGAAACACTGTCTGCACAAAGAATGATATATATGCTCATCCATACGAGCGGTATCGAGGTGAGATCAGGCGCCAGTCGAAATAATGAAATCGAAGAAATCAATTTTTACAGCCACACAATGCCTTTCATGTCCATTTCAACACACATTTCTGTCAGGATTTTAATGAAAACCATTGATCAAAGGCACAAAAAATGTGCATTTGCATTTTGCTAGGACTTTCAAGCTTTGGAAGTCATGGAACTTTCGTGGCTATTTTCTTGCTTGTCATATGCCTGACACAAGGCAACCCCCACCCCCTTCAATTACAAATATTATCTAAAGTTCTATTCAAGATAAAAAGGTATCTATTTTTATCAAAAGCAAGTCAAATGAACAAGCTTTATGATGATACCAAAAACTCCATATGCCCAAAAACTGATGAGCACCCGATTCCATAACGTTGTCACACAGGTATATAGTTCATCTGAACCACAGGGTTCTTCTACTTTGGCTGGAAATAATATTCTTTAAGAACATACTCTTATGCTGATGATTCAATGTTGACAACACCAAACACACTTACAAAGTTGAAGAACTATAATTATTTAAACAGGATACGTAAAACACATTACAGGTACTTAAAAATTAGCATTGATTTTTAACAGTTGCAATATGATTTATTTAACCAACTCAAGACACAGCTTAGTATATTTTCAGCAAAACATGAGGTGCTACATTTCATTCCTTGCAAAAAAAATACACAAGATTTTGTTCACAATCCACCAATTTCTTTCCTAAGGCATCAGCTTTCTGCCAACACAAGCAAAAAAAAATTGAGAATTGAAAGACTCGCAAAGCACATAAACTATAGCAAGCCAACAACATAAACAATTACTATTTCTTCATTTAGAGCATATGTGTCCAGAACACAAAAGGTGAATGTTTTTACTTACTTTTACCAGGAAAGTTATTTAAAAAGTGGGAGTTGAAAGTTATAAAGAGTCCTTACCTTTTTGGAGAGCCGGGAGCCTGAGTAGAAGTAATAGTGTCCGTAGGGAGCTTGGCAGAGGAGGTGCTACTCTGCTTTTTGATGGCATTGATCATTTGCATGATGTTGAACATAGAGCCCGTTGAGGTCGTGGCAGGAGCAGCTGAAGCTGAGCTAGTGTCAGGCACTTCTTGTTTGACAACAGACCCTTCTGAGCTGGATACTGGCAGAGTCTGGACAGAAAGGTTAAGCACAAATAAAATTTCTTCATTATGAAAAACTACAAGTTCATCACCAAACATCTCAGAGAGGAGTTTTATATATATTCATATATAATTTAATGCTACAGGATTTTGGGAGAAATAAGCCATTTCCAGTTTTCTTCTCAAACTATTACAACAAAATTTGAGCTAATCATGTTTGTTTTGTTTTTTCAATGTAGATTAAACATCAGAAACAACAAAAAGTAATTAACAAAACAAGTATTTCTTGAAGTTGACGAAGTAGTTGATTGTAACCTTCCGAATGTCAATGGCCGATTAAACCAGCTGTAAGTTTTGTTCTGTGATGTTTAATGATAATAGGCTGTAATTTGAGTCATTATTTCTGTTCGTTTTCCCCCAAACATTTCAATTTCTTCGCAAACGAACTCTGCTTCCTATGCATACATTCTACTTTCTGAAAAGTATAGGTTAAGAACCTTTATTTGATTGCTTTGCTTGTTCTCAAGCACTTCCCTACATAATATATATGGTGAAATCATTCGCTTGGAGTGTTAAGTCAATGAAATCATATTCTAAGCTATTTTTTTGTGAGAAAGTGAACAACACCATGATAACACAAACAAAAATATGAAGTTCTGACACGAAGGAAAATTTCACTCACATCTTTGGACAGCTTCTTCAGGACATCTGTCAAGTTTGGCGCCTTCTGATTGTCTCCTTCCTCATCACTGGAGTACCAATCATCCGCTGCTTCCTCTGTTCAAAATCAATTATTGTTCCCAAATCAGTCCACAACAGAACAAAATTATTTATTTCAAAGAGTAACAATTGCAACTGTAATTTACACCCACACTGTCAATATTGCAACTGACTTAACAATAGTAAGAACACCCTTTATGAACAATCGACCAAAGTCCTTTATAACAAGCATCTTTTGAGCTGAATTCATAATGCAATTGAACACTGTCTTACAGCATGAACTGGCATTTCAAGTTTTTTTTGTCTGTTTTTTTTCAGTAGAATTTTCACGGCGCTCGCAACTGCATAGAGTAATATGAGCACCAAGGGGTGGATGTCAACAGAGAAGTCCAGGCAGGGAATCAAGCCTACTCTGCTCACCTCTCTAGCTTCAACAGCACTAAGTTTGCTTCGACTATCAAGTCACTCCGGAAATAGTGGGTCACAAGAGTGTGACAAACATACAATAGAAGTAGAGGAAAAAATGATGATAGTAAGGATTAGGAAAGAAAAAGCAGAAGTTCCTTGTTACAGTTCAGGCACAGCTATGAGCACGACATTGAATTGATAAATCAACCCATCTGCAATTCTACTGAGCATAAGAACGTATTAATGTACCTCCTTTGGGAATGGCCTAAAGACACTTCAGTCAGTTGCACAGCCCCC